GACGAGAAGTCTGCAAGAGCTGGGCCATTGTCATTTCCATCAAAGGCGAATCCTTGATACTTGTTTGGCTTGAGATTTTCATTTAAGCGGCTGTGGTAAAGTAGGAGAAGAGGCCTCGCTTATTCAGGGAGGCTGAATGGTGAAGCACTCAGGGTCTGGAGTCACGCAAGCTTGGTGGGTTCACTTCTTTGCTTTGGGACTCATTTCCCTGTCTCCACTTACTTCATGTGTCCTTTGAAGTCTCAATAAAGGACCTTGTGGAAAGTATTCAGAACAGCGCTGGCACCTAACAGTGCTTGCCACAGCAGTTACGGTTCCCCTCAGCTTGCCCTGCCTTTGCGGAGAGAGATACATGGCCATCAGCTCATAGTAGCGTGTGATGTCCTGAGATGGGAGAGGAAATGTGGAGACGAGGTTCCAGACCTCACGAAAATCACAGTCCATTCTGCAGTTTACCCTTTGGAAAAGGGAATGAGGGACTTACCATTCAGGCCTGGGCCCATACAGCAAGTGTGTACCATGCTTGTAGAGGCCTGGGGGGAAAGCTTGGGGAGTCACGGGGAGTGCTGGGAATTTTCATATTTCCATTGTGTGCTCTCTAGTTTCTCTTGTATGTGAAGTGCCTGACGGGCCACAGCAGGCTGTCCTGGTTTTGTTGGAGTCAGTGGAAGACAGAGTGCTGTGTGGATGGATGGGCCTCCCTGCCTAGCAGTAATCATGACTCACAGAAAACCCTGATCGTAGCAGGAAGGGGAGGGAAAGCAGCTTTCCAAGGCTTCGTATTAATAAAGCTGCTGCAGGCGTGCGGCTTTGGACCCAGACCCAACTCACTCTCAACTCCTTGAGCTCTGGATGCTGAGCAGGGCGGTCTTTAACCCCCCCTCAGTGCTGGTCTGCGGCTGGGCTGTAGATTACGGAGGGGCAGGACTCCATACCATACGGAGGGGCAGGCTTGAGGGAGAGGAGCCATGGATTTTATAAACTCTGGCTTGTGGACACTGTCGGAGGTGGGATGAGGCAGTGGGTTTGAGGAAAACCAGAGGAGCCTGCACTTAGCGTGTACAAGACCCCGAGTGCTATCCTCAGCACCCAAACCAGCCAGCCAAAAAAGCCTTATGGTTGAAGACGTTACAGGTGGTGCTGACTGAAGACATTACAGGTGGTGTTGACTGGCCCTAGGACAATCATGTGACCTGCCCAAAGTCTTGTTCCTCTGAAGTGGCAGGACTGAGGTGACATCTGAGCCTGCTGGGTTTCTTTCCCGCCACAGGTCTGGCTGGAGGAGCCCATTTCTCATCCCAGTAACCCTCCTTCCCGCTTCCCTGCTACTGACAGCTCCCAGGCCCTTGCCCTGTCTTCATTACTGCTTGCCTCCTTTCCTTTCCCATGGTGCAGAGGGGCAGTTCCCAAGAACAAGACTAGGCAGACTGCAGGGGTCCTGCCTTTGCGGGTGAAGGCAGCCCTGCTTAAGTGGGTTGGAGGAACTGGGTTAAGGGGTGCCGGGACAGCTAGCTCTGTACTGGAGCCAAACAGCAAAGCAGAGTGGGCTCCTGTTTATGGCAGGGGCCAAGAGCAGAGCAGACCCCAGTAGGTCACGAGGGTGTTACTTGTGTAGACTTCAAGTGCGTTCATCGCACGTCATGTAGGACCCGCTGGCCACCTGTGCCTCATCTGCTGGGTTTCCCCATTGCAGAAGGCTCACTGGATTTGGACTTATTTGCTGGGGTAGAGGAAGCATGGCCTGTTTTAAAACTGCATGAATGCTTTGAACTCGCTTTTGCAAACTAGTGCCAAATGAATGGTGTTGGCAGGGAGGGCTTGCTGAGCCTGGAGAGACTTGCTACCCTTACAAAAGGAGTGGTTTGCTCCGAAACCAGAGTGGCCGGCTCTGGAGAATGTAGCCAGCACAGCTCTGCTGGCCACACACATACCGTGCCTCTCTCTGCAGGGGCCTCCAATTGGACAGCCACCTGCTAGACAGTGTTCTGCTTTCGCCGGGCTCGGGAACACAAGAGTAAAGAACTCTGCAGTAATACTGTGAGACTCCCTGTCAGCATTTGCTGCCCTTTGGTGCATTTCCTTCTAAGCTTGTTTATCCTGAAGCAAAGGGGTTCTTTTTTTAAAGTTCATTTTACCTTCTGCTGTGTGTGTGTGTGTGTGTGTGCGTGTGCACATGTCACAGCATATGTACAGAAGTCAGAGGACAACTTTCAGGATTTGGGTGCTCTCCTTTCGTTGCGGGTTTGGGGGCTCAAACTTGGGCTGTCAGGTTTGTGTGACACTTACCCATTGACTCAGTTTACCCATTAAGTCACCTTCTGGCCTAGGCGGAAGACTTTAAAGGGTCAGGGAAACCCTGAGGGTGTGTGGTAGAAAGGATCTGTGCTGAGGAAGGATCTGGTATACCATTCTGCCCTTTCTTCTGTCTTCTCTCTGTAGCTTCAGGTACCTCGGTAGCAGCCCGGCCTCTAGATGCTCACCAGAGTGCTTTGTTTATGCTTGAAGCCAGTGTAGTAAGGTTAGAGCCAACCATGTGACTTGAGTTTCCCCTGGCAGCCGTCTGCTGGAATGTATGCCAATGGGCAGGGGCAGTAGATGCAAATGCAATCCTTCGTGTTGAGTTTCTTTGCTTGAGCAGCATTTTCCTCATAACTTTGAGCTTGTTAAAGATAGGAACAATGTTTTCTTTATCTCTGCGTCCCATTTACCCAAGATGGTGCTTGGCACAGACTGATTATAGTAAATGAAACATTGAAAGCCAGATATGGTAGATGATTTGTGTTAAGTTTCATCATGCATGTGTGAAGTTGCTCAAAATATTTATTAGCAAAGGTTAAGATTGGTTAGTACATTATTTCATGTGTGTGTGTGTATGCGTGATATGTGTGTACCAGTGAGTGTGTCTGCAAATGTGTGCATGTGAAGGCCAGAGGCTGACATTAAGTGTCTTTCTGGATTGCGTTCCACTTCATTTTTTTTAACATATAACTTATTTTATGTCCACTGGTGTTTCGCCTCCTTGTGTGTCTGTGTGAGGGTATCAGAGGCCCTGGAACTGGAGTTACAGACAGTTGTGAGCTTCCATGTGGGTTCTGGGAATTGAACTCAGATCCTCTGGAAGAGCAGCCAGTGCTCTTAACCACTGAGCCATCTCTCTACCCCCTCCTCTTCCTTTTTTGAGATGGCCTCTCACTGAACCTGGCGGTCACCAAATCAGCTAGTCTGACTAGCCAGCAAGCCCCAGGGATCTTTCTAGCCCTATCAGGTTCCTTTCCTCCCTCTATACCTCCTACGGTGTTGCTGGAATCACAGATGTGCACCACCACGCCCAGATTTCCATGTGGGTCCTAGGGACCCAAACTAGTTTCTAATGCTTACACAGTGAGCACACTACCGGCTGAGCTATCTCCAGACTCTGCCTCCTCTTTGAACAGATTCCTACCCTGTATCCTAGGGTTCCACTCACTGTGAAGCCCAGGCTGGTCTTGAGCTCAAAGCAGTCCTCCAGCCTCCGCCTCCAGAATCTTAGGCTCACATATGTGGCCACCATGCCTGGTTGGTATTTTATATTTTTAGTGGGAAATATATTTTTAAAATCTTCACCCCCATCCTCGTCCACCAATGCTATGAATAGAATTTGGCAAAGTGCTATGTAGTTAGTTACTCAGCAGTGCCCTGATGAGGGACAGTATGGATCCTGGATCCAGTCAAGACTTTGAAGAGATTACTCAATAAGTAGAAGTGTTCTAGGAAGTTGGAATTGGGCTAGGCCTCCGGGATAGGTTTGCCACCTTTTCTCAAGAGTAAAGACTCAGGAGTTTTTGTGGTTTTGTTTTGTTTATTTGGGGTTTTTTGTTTTTGTGTATGTTTGTAGCAGGGTCATGTGTAGCCCAGGGTGACTTTAACTTCTGATCTTCCTACCCCCAGCCCTGAAGTTCCGGGGTGACAGGTGTCTAGCATCTTGTTGTTTTAACTTTTTCCCAGTGGCTGTGCCTTAATCTGCTGCTGTTTCAGCCAGTAATTGTGATCTGCAGTCACCAGCCTGTGTCTCTGAAAGTGTCCTGTCTGTTGCCACTCAGTAGCTTTAACTAGATCTCTGCTGTTCTGTTTATAGATAAGGCTCAGGATGCAGAGGCTGGGGTGGCAACCTGCTAGCTCAGAGAGGTTGAGTAGCAACTAGGTGATGTTCTCTCTTTGCTGATGTCTCTCCAGGAGAGCGTCCTTCCACTCTGCCCAACAACAAAATAAAATCATGCCGCTCCAAATCCCTCCCTACTTCCTGTGTCTCTGTCTCTCCCAGATGCCCTCCGATGCTCTATGATTACTTCCTGTCAACTAGTTGCTAATTTAGCCTCCTGACCCAGATGCAAACTCAGGATTCACAGTGTGATCTTATGTTCCCCAACACTATCATTGGTGGTCTAGGCAGTGATGGGTTAAACACACGGTTTTATGCGTTCTAGGCAAGTACTCTGCCAGCTGAGCTACATTCCCAACTGTGTTTTGCTTTCAAACCATCTTTTGAACCTTACTGTTAACAGTCTGGGAGGGAGTTTGGAAGGGGGATTGGAATGACTGACAGGATGGTAATTCTAGAGTCCTGTTTGCATGCAGTATTCGGAAAGTTCTGCAGAAAATGATTCCATTTACTGTTCCTCACTGGAGGGTCGTCACCTTCCTAACAGCTGAGTTTGATACTAAACATGAACTATTTCTCCTTGGACATAGACAGAGCACCACCCCCCTCCTGTCTTAGGGGAACCTCACTTTTTAAACCATGTGCCTTTGTGGTTATGACCATTCCCTAATAAATAAACCTTTGTTTTTCTAAACTCTGCTATGGTCTGGTGGTTCTTTTTATCTTGTTTCCTTAATGGGATAAACGCCAGTGCCATTCAGGGGACAGACAGACTGACTGACCAGTGGAGGGGGTGGGTGAGAAGGCAGGCGGCGGGCACGTGCTGTAATGTAACATGCTCCGTTGCTTGTTGCTTTTGTAGGGTAAGGAAACCTGTGTGGGTACCAACAATCAAAGCTACATCTGTGACACAGGACACTGCTGTGGACAGCCTCAGTGCTGCAACTACTACTATGAGCTCTGGTGTAAGTCCTTGTCCAGGGGGTTCTTGGCATCCCAGGGTCCTGGTTACTGCCCCTGCTCCTTGGGAAACCGCGGGCTGGCCAGCCTTTTCTGATTCTCTTGGGGACAGTGTTGGTGAGTAGAATCTGGATCTGGGTTGCGGAAGTGATTCTTTTCTAGAGGAGGAGGGCTCGGGCACCCTCTGGGCACCGTGGGCTGAAGACGGGAGTACAGTCTGCCTCTTTGGAGGTCGGGGCTGGTAGACAGCACTTCTGCCCTGATCTTTTTTAGAGCTCAGAAGAGACAGGTGTTGACTGCCAGACAGACAGGGCGGAGGATGGGAGCCCTTAGGGCAGAGCGGTCTCAGGTGACAGACACGGTAGTGGAGCAGCAGCAGACTGTCCTCAGATGGTCATGGCCCCTTCCTTGCTCTAAATAAAATCAGATGTTGCACTGGCTTGTCAAGCCATGCCCTTGCTCGCTGTCACTTAGGGACTTCCCCCCCCCCCATCCCCGCCTGCTCCCAGTCAGCGATATGGCAGGAAGGCATCGAGGACTCGTGTTGGATCCCGCAAGGAAATTGGACCCCTGGCTGGGAAGTCTGGTTCCCTGTGAAGCGCTGTGGTCTTTGAAAGCCAGACTGGGTGGGTTCTTCAAATAGAACCTCTTCCCCACCCTCGCCCTTCCCTTTCCAGGGCTGAGGCCGCCAGATCTACAGGGTAGGGTAGGACAGGGCTTGGAGATCCCCACCAAGCCTCCATGTGTGTAAGCAAACGGAGGGGCAGAATTGCTGTTTTCGATGGGTGGGGCTGAGAAACTGAAGGACACCAAGGGCCAGGCAGGTGGACCCACTGTGTTTAAATGTTTTAAAGTGCAGATAACCACAGGGTTCAAATTCCCCCTCCCACCCCTTGTCAAAACAAAAGGCAAAGTCGGGCTGCCAAAAGGCACAGAGCTCCAGTTTGTTTTGCTGGGGCCGGGGCCCAGCCGGCCCCATCGCAGACTGACAGAGCCTCCTGGGCTGCCGGGAGAGCGCACTCAGTAGCCACCAAAATTGGGTCACCAAAGCCGGGGCCAAGAGGTGGGCCAGTAGCAAGGACTGGGAGAGGCAAATGGCAGGAAGATTGTCTGGGGAGAGGGGCTTCTGTCTCATTACCTTCCCGTTTTAGTAGGTTGGGGGGGGGCGGCCTCTTCCCGACTTCTGGGGCCGGTGGAGACAGCAGACTGAGACAATTCAAAGTCTGCCCAGCAGTGGCCTCTGGCAGGAGATGTCCAGCTTTTCTGTCCCTGTCAGGAAATCCTTATGTTTTCCTCCTTATTTGGAGCCCAGCCTTTTCAAGAAGTGTGCAGGACAGGGCCTGAGAGTTGGAATGAACTATGGAGTTCTCAATAAAAGTACACTTGATGTTTTGTTGTTTCATTTGGATTTTTGTTTGCTTTTTAAAGACATTGGTTTTTGTTTTTTGTTTTTTGTTTTTTGTTTTTTTTTTTTTGTATATTGTTGGTCCGGAAGTTGTGGTGTAGCTCGGGCTGGCCGTGAGTTCTAAATTCTGTTACCTCTGCCTCCCGCCCGAGTGCTGGGAAAAAAAAAAAAAAAAAAAAATACGCTTCTTGTGGTTCTAACCCGTGTTCCCTCAGTGTCTTTCACTTTTGCCAGAAATGCTAAAGAAACTGGCTTTGAGTCGTTTCCCACCTCTGCCCCCCTTTCTGTGGGAGAGCCAGTAATCACTGGAAGGTCAGATGAGGTACCGCTTCCTTTCAGGAGAAAGGCCCTGGGGATGCCGTCCCCACCAGCCCTGTTACCTCTACTGAACTGAACTTGCCTGTGTCCTGAGGACTGCAGGACGATGTGCTGACCTGGAGTTTGGTTCAGCAGGCTTTCACATTGCCCTGAGCCCGCCCGTGTGAGGTGGGAACAGGTGTCCCTGCATCCCGTGTCTGAGACCTCAGGAACCTGCATTTGTGCTTGGGTTCACTATGCTACCAGCCTGTATCCCAGGGGTCTTAGACCACGGTTTGTAGCAGAGGTGTATTTAAATATAGATTTCCAGGCCCTGCTCCCTGCAGGCCTGAGCCAGACCTGAGAGTATGCAATTCTAGCAAGCTCTTAACTGATGCCACGGCCTCTCCTGGTTCAGACACGGGTAAGGGCATTAACTCTTGCACTGGGAGGTAATAGAGCAGAGGCGATGGAGCGTGGGCTGGCGGCACAGAAGTGTGGCGTGCATGTTACGCGTCTGCCAGTTCACCTTCAGAAGGAATTTGCTTTGGCCAGCTGAGATCTGGGCGGTGTGTGTGAGAAGGTGTCCTTTGAAGGGTCGAGAGGACTTTACACATTCCGGAGACTGTTGTCAGCCAAGGCTCTATAGGAGAGAGCCACTGTCCCGAGCCTGTGGGGCTCACCTAAGAGAGGTGCGATATAGGAAACATTTATAGATAGCTAAGTAGGGTCTGCATCTGTGGGGTACTCACGCTGTCCCTGTCTTGGAGCTGGAGGTGTTCACTCTGTTGTTTGTAGCTGAGAAGTGGCAGCCGCTCTCCATCTTAGGTGTTCTAAGGGCTAAAGCTGGAAGGAGGAGAGGGCACAGGCCATAGAATCACAAAGGGCTTTTCTGCATGCTTCATGTCCCTGAAACAGATCGAGCAAGGGGACCCCAGAAATGCAGGAGTACACGCAAAGCCAAAACAAACAAACAAACAAACAAACAAACAAATAGGCCTGAAGCGAGGGTTCCTGCCCTGCCCACGGCTCCTTTCCATTCTCCAGAACTCGTTTCCCAGGGAAGTCAAAGCTGGACTTCCTGTCCCTGAGATGGTTTGTAGAAATTTTACTCAAGTGTCAGGTTTCCCTGGTCTGAATTTCAGCCCAGAGAAAAGATATGGTTTCTTAAGATGACAGGAAAGAGACTGTTAGCAATCTACTTAGTGGTAGTGGGCAAATACTCACTCCTGGGTTTTTTAGTTAGTATATGGGAAACTGTGTTTGTGGGGCACTATGTGATTGATATTTCAACATGTGCACATGTGCATTTCTCTTTTATCTTAGAAACACAGTTGAGCTCATATTAAGGCCAACTTAAGACATTTAGCTCTTGAGCACATTGGCTACCAGGGAGCATCCTTCCAAGCCCTTGTTGAAGCACATCTCCCTAGTGGTCCAGGCCCCTGGACACGGGCAGGGTGGTCAGAGCACGACAGCCCATATCAGCGCACGACAGCCCATATCAGAGCACGACAGCCCATATCAGCGCACACAGCACCTTGTTCACAGCAGGGGCTCAATAAATAGGAGTGGCCTGATTTTTTTTCCACAGAATTCTGCCAAGAACAGAACCTCAAAGCAGACTTTGGACCTAATCCTAACCCATGTTTTTTATGGAATAGTTTTCGGGGAGGGGTCAAAGAGGGTTTCAAGGAAATCCTGGCCATCTGCGGTTATGCCTGCAACAACAACAGCTATAACAGTAAGCCAGGGATTGCATAGTACATAGGCGCGGCTTGGAGTGTCCCACATGTGTTACCTCGGGCCTTCAGGGGACCAGAGACCATTGTTCTCCTCATTTTACAGACAAGGGGAATAGAAACAAAGTCCCCTGGGTCCGGAGTTGTTGAGAACTGGGATCTGAACCTACAGAGCTGTGTTCACCCTTACAGGACAGTTGGTTTATATTTAGTTCAGATGACATTGCAAGCCTCTAGAATCTGCGTTTCCCAAATTCAGGGGTTTTGAGTAGCGTCAGGGCAGAGGTCCCCGATGAGGAATGTTAGAGCCAAGGGAGGCTCCCCCATCTCGTGAGAGGAAGGGGGACTAACTATGTGTGCTCTGGCTCCCCGGTGGGGAGTTTCCTGTCAGTCTAGGAGTGGTGTTTTCCCAAGTCTGTCCTGAACTCTGGGGCACATGACTCAGTTCCTACATGGGACTGTGATTGTTTTTAAAAACATGTTTTCCATTTAGCTTAGCATGACAAATGCTCCACGCAACAAGGTCATAACCTGGGGAGACAGGGAGGAGTCCTCTGGCTTGGTGTGTGTTTGGGGAACATAGGATAAAGTTTTGTTTTGTGCTCTTGTATGCCCTTGATTAGACTCAGCTTCTCAAAACCTTTCTTCCCGATAGGCACGCTAGTATACACCTGTGATCCCAGCACTTGGGAAGCGGAGGCCCCAAATTTGATGCCAGCTGCAGTTAAATATAGCAATATCCTGTCTTAAAAACAAAAGCAATAAAAACCTACCTTCTTTTGAAACCTAGCTAAGTTTTAAAATTAGTTGGGCCCCACTGGGACTAATCTGATATCCCAACACTGCTTAAAGTTCTTCGCAGCCTTCGCTGGCGTGACCCCAGGACAGTTCAGTGTGTGTGGCCGCATCAGATGGCCCTCTGCCTGCCTTCCCAGCAGATGGCACCAGCTCGTGGTCCGTTCCCCTGTCCCTAGATTGACACCTAGTGTGCTGCAGGACCGTGTCTACTCCTTATGTTTGTCCTTGTTGTGAGTCCTGTGGTCCTGGGTTAGAAACTAAGAGAGTTTACCCAGTTTGATACAGATGTGGCCTCACACAGCTGGTGTATGGCAGAGAGTTTTGCGGGAAATGTGGGCTAAGGCTGCGGGTGTGACTTACTGGTAGGGCATGCACGAGGTCCTGGAGTCTGTTCCCAGGCCCGTGATAAGGAAAAAGGTAAAGAGAGAAGAGAAAGTAGGCGTATGGACTTTCACTAACATGGCTGCTTCATTCACTTCTTCCCCTACTTACCTTCTGGTCTTCTTAATTTTTCCTTTTGCCTTTTTTGAAAAAAAAGTTTTTCCTGTGCCACTGCAGTTAAGGGTCCTCTGCCCCTTCATATCAAGAGCCCCTTTAAGACTCCTCCTCATGAGGTCGATAAGATGGCTCAGCTGGTAATTGCTGATTCCAGACTGTCGTGGTGGGAGCAAAGAACCAACTCTACCAAGTTGTCGTCTGACCTTTATACATGCGCTGTGAGTGTGCACAGCATAAACAAAAATGGATTCCTGAGAACCACTTAAATAGAAAACCCGTGAGCACACTGGCGGTGGGGACAGGCTAGGTTTTGCTGCAGGGAACACACAGATGTCCAAAATCCCAGTGACTGAAACCAACAGGTCTCTCTCTCTCTCTCTCCCTCTCTCTCTCTCTCCCCCCCCTCTCTCTCTAACTTTTGTTTTTTTTTTTTTTTTTTTTTTTTTTTTTGAGACAGGGTTTCTGTTACAAGTAGGGTTTTCCCTGCCAGTTCAGGTTTATTTGTAGCTTTGGAGCCTGTCCTGGAACTCACTCTGTGTACTAGGCTGGCCTCGAACTCACAGAGATCTTCCTGCCTTTGCCTCCCGAGTGCTGGGACTAAAGGCGTGCGCCACCACTGCCCAGCTTTCTTTTTCATTCTTACTGTTTGTCCATGGAAGGTGGAATGAGGGCTTTGTTCCTGCTTGAGCTTGTCTTTATAGCCCAGAGCCAGAAATGACTGACTGGCTGGAATGCTGATGGAAAGCCGATGGAGGGCTTTCACACAAGAAACACTCTAGTCTCTAAATGACGGACCGCTTAGTTTCTGACAGTAGGCAGAATTAGTCCCATAACTTCCCACACACACATAGAGGCCAGGAAGTTCAGCCCTGCCTATGCACCCAAAGGCAGAGAACAGGGATCTTTGGTGAACATGGAAAGGAGCGTGTGGGATTTCTCTAGTTTGTCGAGACAGCCCAGGACGGCTCGGACCTGGAGATCTTGCCTCCGTGCTGGAGCACCACGTTAGAGGCGTGTGTCACTACATCAGCCTGAGATTTTCTTTACTAATAGTGGCGATTAAAGCAGAGGTTGTGAGAGCTGAGAGTAATGCCTTGGATCACATATATTAAAGCTTAGAAAATGGAGAGGATGAGGAAGTACTGGGGAAATGATCCCAGTAAAAATAACATTAGATGCTGATTTTAAAGTCGAGCTGTGGGGTGGGGGTAGGAACAGGGGAGCAGGCTTAGAGTTAGATCCCCCTGGAGCTAGAGTTACAAGCAGTTGTGGGGGTTACATGCCACGTGGGTCCTGGGAACCAAACTTGGCTCCTTTAAAAGAACAAGTGTTGGGCTGGAGAGATGACTCAGTGGTTAAAGAGCACTGGCTGCTCTTCCAGAGGACCAGGGTTCAATTCCCAGCACCCACATGGCAGTTCACAACTGTCTGTAACTCCAGTCCCAGGAGATCAGACACTCTCATTCAGACATAGATGTAGGCAAAACACCAATGCATATCAAATAAATAAATTATTAAATCCTTAAAAAAAAAAAAAAAACCCTACCCACCCCCTGTTTGTAATATAAGCATCTCACTGAGATCCTTCTGTTTCCTTGGCATGAGTGCTTGAGTTATAAAGTATACACGCGCACGCGCACGCGCGTGCACACATTTGTACTTTCCTAGAAAGAAATGCAGTGTACTATGTGTCATCTATAAGTAATGTCAGATATGCCGTATGCTGTATGCAAAGTATACTCTGGACACTTGGAGCACTCAGAAGAAGGAAGGTATTGATGCCAGCTTGGCTGTATAGTGAGACTCCACCTTAAAACAAACACATAAGCCCCCAAATAAATGAGCTCCATTATAACCTAAAAAGATAACGGCAACTTGGCATATAAGGCTATTAGCATACTTCATACTTTATTACCATTCTGTGACTCCATTGATCTTACTCAAATTAAACTAATAAGACCAAAAGGTCGTACAGAAGAAACTGGGAGCGGCCAGGTGTTGCAGTACGCACCTGTTTTCTAGCCCTTGGGAGGGGAATGGAGGGTCAGGACTTCAAGGCCAGCCCCAGCTTTGAGGCCAGCATGTACTGTGTGAGAGCCTGTCTCAGAAAGGGAGAGGCTACTTTATGGTACTTATAATCTTACTATCAGGGATTGTACATATCAAAAACAATATTGTCTGCAAACAACCCTTAGAAGTAGTCTTAAAGACAAGTCACATGTGACTCTATTTCTAGAGGAACTAAAGACCTCCGTAGAGAGGCTGGGCGTAGCTCGGGTGCTAAGTGTTGCCTCATGTGCTGGGGCCTGTTCCATCCCCAGCTCTGAATCGCTGAGTGTGGCAGTGTGGCTCATACACCAGTAACCTTAGCTCCTGGGAGGTGGAGACAGAAGATCACAAGTTCAGGGCCACCCTCTGCTGTGCACCTGGGCTCATCAGGTAACCTTAGCTGGTTTGGAACTCACCACATAGACCAGACTAGCCTTCACCTCACAGATCTGCCTGTCTCTGTATTTACCAGGGCTGGTGAGATGTCCCAGTGGGTGAAAACAGTCGGTTGTGCGAGCTTGAGGACTTGAGCTCTGTTCCCGGAACTCACGGGCGGGGTGGAAGCAGACACCTATCTCCCAGAGGTTACCCCCTGACCTCTGTGTGTGTATGCACGGCCCTCATACTCCTGCACTGATACATTATACATACATGGAGTAATTTTTAAAATCTGTTTGATAATTTCATGCCTACACATAACATATTTTAATCAAAACAACCCTATGCAATTATTTTCAGAAATAAATTTATCATTTGAAAAAAATACAGCCAGCTGGGATAAATTTATTGTTTGAAAAAAATAAAAGTCAGCTGGAAGGTGGCGGCATATGCCTTTAATCCCAGCACTCAAGAGGCAAGAGAATCTCTGATCTACAGAACGAGTTCTAGGACAGCCAAGGCTACAGAGAGAAACTTTGTTTTGAAAAAACCAACCTTGCCCCCTCCCCCAAAAAAGACCCAGAAAAGACCTGTAAAAATAAACTAGTCATTTTTTTAATTGAATTTTTTGTAGTCTCATAATTAAAAGAATAAAACAATTGAAAATGCTCCAGGCATCTCTGAGTTCCAGGCCAGCCTGGGCTACACAGAGAAACCCTGCCTCAAAAACAAACAAGCAAACAAATAAAAGAAAAAGAAAAACACGACCTTAAATTTCTCCTAATGTTATCTCATTGTTTGGGGCTGGAGAGCCGACTCTATGATTAAGAGCACTTGTTGCTCTTATGAAAGTCCTGGGTTCAGCTCCCAACATCTGCATGGATTCTCACAACCATCTGTAACACCAGTTCCAGGAGAGCCAACGCCCTCCCCGGACAGCCAAGGGCACAAGGTGCCAACATACATGCAAGCAAACACGCAAACACGCATACATGTTCGGTTTGTTAAAAGTCGTTATTCTTGTTTTTCCTTTCAGTCTTTCTCCTATTCATGTCTGTAGAGATTTAAGCAAAAGTGGACCACTGGGTTTTTCCAAGGGTTTAAAAGCCCTTTCTGTTCTAAATTGGGGAGGTGTTCTCATACTGGGGTTCACTGAGTCAGTGGGAAATGAGAGGGCCATGGACTTAAACTCCACATGCCCTGGAGGAGGAAAGGGAAGCTGCCCGCACAGGCTTACGGGATGGGGGAGTGGTTTGTCACGGCTGTGGGAGATGGAATTATACCAGATTATAGATAGTGCAGGAAGTCATTTACACTCTCCAGGGAAGAGCAGGGCCCGAGGCAATTCAAACTTTTCCATCTCTCCGTTTCATGATTGCAGTTTACAGAGGCGCACATGAAAATCCCTCATCTTGTTTGTCATCAGGTGAACCCTAAGAAGGTTTTTCTTTTTGGCTTTTCAAGGCAGGGTTTGTCTATGTAGCTCTGGCTGTCCTAGAACTTGCTTTATAGACCAGGCTGGCCTTGACTCACAGCCATCCACCTGCCTCTGCCTCCCGAGTGCTGGGATTAAAGGTGTGGGCCACCACCAACTGGCCTTAGCGCTCTTATGTGGGGGCTGCTCTGGAGTCTGCGATTGCTGAGCTTCTGGGCTGGGGTAGAAAAGGGAAGACAGGTACCAAGAAAGTCCAAAGTATTTTGTCCAGGATCTCTTATTAATGCCCACTACATTTACAAAAAGCTTGACCTTCCTTTTGTCCCGAGCACCTTTCCCTGTAGTAAACACATTTTGAACGTGTGGCTTGACATACAGTGACAGGGTGAGGCCTGACTGGCACCGTCTAGACCTTGTTTGAGAGCTGCTCCATGTCACTGATCCTCACCGCGCGTGTGCCTCTCTGTCTTGCTCCTCACCTCCCAGGGTTCTGGCTAGTGTGGACCATCATCATCATCCTGAGCTGCTGCTGTGTCTGCCACCACCGCCGAGCCAAGCACCGCCTTCAGGCCCAGCAGCGGCAACATGAAATCAACCTGATCGCCTACCGGGAAGCTCACAACTACACAGCGCTGCCTTTCTACTTCAGTACGTTCACCGCAGCTCGCCTCCCCCACCCTCCCGACCTTAGTGGCATAGAGCCAGGGCCCAAGTGGTCCATCGGTGGCTGGGACCCCTGGGGAAGGATGCCCCCGTTGCTCCACCCAGAGTCTGGAGGATCACACTACAGTTGTGTCCTCAAAGTCCGTGGGACCATTCCCAAGCTCACAGTAAGGCAGCCAGGTCTCATCCTTTAACAGGCATGCATGGATACATACATACAATATGCATATATTTTATACATACTTATATAAGTTAATATAGGGCCTCACATAGCCCAGTTAACCTCAAATTCCCTGTGGAACCTGAGAGTGACCTTGAACTGGATTTTTTTAGGCACATAGGCAATGGAAGTATAATTTTAGTGGCTTGGGACCTGGCACTCATCAGCCTGGATCCCTCCTGTTTGGCTTCCTGCCACATGCTGTCCCTTACAGAGTCTTCATGGAAGAGGCGGATAGAAGGGGCTGCACTGGGACTTTGTGAGAACCAAGACACTTGGTGACGTAACTGCAATCCTTATATTGGAATTTCCCATACTGTGATCTCACAGGCTCCGTGGAGGCCTGCCCGCCCCAGCGAGGCATCTTGTCTTAAGCCATCTGGCACATTATACAAAATTATGGTGTCACAAATGTTTGGATTTCCATAGCTGGACAAGTTAGTTGCTTAGCATGGTGTCTTATGTATAGTTAAAGTGCTCAATTGCTATCGGTTGCTGTTAGGGTTTTGAATGAGGTGATCCAGGCCTCTGGACATTTAGGAGGAAACTCACCCCTGACTGGTAACCCACCACTCCTGAGCCGAGTCAAGATTCAGCCTGTTTTATCTTTCCAAATTATCTTCAACCATACCATAGTGAAAGAGGTGATCTGGATTTCTTACCTTCAGGGGAAAAAGACCCTGTACTTGAGATAACTGAGCGGGTGGGGAAAGTGTGTGGCCTAAGGACAGATGGAGGATTACCGTCTGAGCAAGAAACGCGGGGCCAGCACTGGAGAGACAGCTCAGTGGTTAAGAGAGAGCATGTACTTATCTTGTTGATGACCCAAGTTTAGTTTCCCCCATCATGGATCACGGTCATCTGTAACTCAGGTTCCGGCCATCAAACACCCTCTTCTGGCAGCCTTAGGTACTGCACTTAGGTGTATCCTTTCTCTACTTCCCCAACCACACACAAAGCTAAAAGAAAGGAAGAAGCTTGGGGCTTGTGTGTCGTGGGAAACAGGCCCATTCTAGGAAGAGTTTGTGTCCCAGCCAGCTCACCACACCTGCGCCCCTCGTCCCTTAACCCCGGGAAGGTCCTTGCTCTGGCAACCGCATCAGGGGTTCTCAGGGATAGCATCAGGTCACATCCACACTGTTCTTCCTCCAGGCCCGTGGGTTGTGACCCATTTCCGAATGACCCTTTCATAGGGGTCACACATCAGATGTCCTGCATAACATTTATTTATATGCCGATTCATAACGGTAGCAGATTTATAGTTGTGAAGTAGCAGCAAAAACAGTTCGTGGTTGGGGGTGGCCACCGCATGAGACGCCACTAAAGGGTCGCAGAGTTATTAGGAAGGTTAAGAGTCACCACTTGACGGCCCTGCTTCAAGAGGTCAGAGGGGACAACACCATGTTCAGTGTGAGCTTTGCCAGGGTGCTGGCCAGTGTGGTAATTTCTCCTCCCTACCTCTTTGTTTTAGGGTTTTTGCCAAACTATTTACTACCTCCTTATGAGGAAGTGGTGAACAGACCTCCAACTCCTCCCCCACCCTACAGTGCCTTCCAGCTACAACAGCAGCAGCTGCTGCCGTCTCAGGGTGGCCCTGTGGGTGGTAACCCGCCAGGCGCTGACCCGCCCCAGGGCTCCCAGGGAGCCCAGAGCAGCCCTCTGTGTGGATCCAGGAGAAGCAGCATGAGGCCCCCAAGTGGCGCTGACCCTCAGCCCTCTGAAGCGCCCGCTGACCGGGCGGCCGCCAAAGCCCCCGGGATGGAGTCCAGTGGCTCAGTGGCCAGCCATCAGGAGCTGGCCCCGGGGGCCTTCCTGGACAGGGATTCCGAGTGTAAGGAGGAGCTCCTGAGAGAGTCAAGTCTGGAGCCTGGTAGCGCACCCTCCGACAGCAAAGACAAGACACCTGGCAGACATCGCCGCTTCACAGGTGACTCGGGCATTGAGGTGTGTGTGTGTAACCGGGGTCACCATGATGATGGCCTCAAAGAGTTCAGTACACTCATAGATGACGTCCTGGATGGGCCCCTGGACTTCTGTGACAGTTGTCATGTACGGCCTCCCGCTGACGAAGAGGAAGGGCTCTGCCTGTCATCTGAGGAGCAGGCTCGAGAGCCGGCTCACCCCCACCTGCCACGGCCGCCTGCCTGCCTGCTGCTAAACACCATCAATGAACAGGACTCTCCGAACTCACAGCACAGCAGCTCCCCTAGCTAGAACTGGCCCTGCCTGCACCCGAGAGCTTGACAGACAGCCAGGGTAGGGACACCCACAAGAGAAGCATTAAGTGACTTCAGAAGTGGTGGCACAACCACTTTGTCTTTTCATTTTTTCCCTCCTGTCCCACTCTGACCACGTCTCCAGGTACAACAAGTCTGGAGTGTGGATGCCTCCTCCCCCACAAAAGCACAGTGTTGTAGGAGCCTGAGACTCTGGTTCTGGGACCCATTCTGCACCCTTCTTTTCAGAGCTGTATCTCGCCTACTTGCTTGGCTGAGAAACAAGTGTCTGGAAAAGCCCCCAGGATCGGGGCCAGGGCTCGGTTCCAAGATGGTTCTAGGTGACGGAGTGGATTCGTAAGAGACCTTCGCTGTGTCTCAGTCTGGGAGAGACGGTGTATCTTGGCCCTGAGTGAAGAAAGAAACCCTCAGGGGCCCCGTGGCTGCCACCGGCGGCTGGCATTGGTCTAATCCTGTGGGAGGGTGAAAGCCGATGGACAGGTTGGTGAGGGCTGGTTGGTCTGGCGAGCCCCGGGTGGAGATTGCACCTCTGTGCATTGGAGAGGGGGCCCGTCCTGGCAGGCTTTGGCTGGCTTTGGCCCGGTTCAGGTGTAGGCGCTTATACTGTGTTCTTTGTGTTCTCCTTGAAAAACAAACAACAAAGGCTAGCTGGAAAGAAGAACGTGTCAGTGGGCAGGCAAGAATCCTCTTTTGGACAAAGGAATTCCGTAGCTGTCCCTCAGGTTGAATTTCCAAGAGTCTGGCTGTGGTTGGGCCAGGAGGAGAGTGTGGTAGTCCTGGGCCTTCTGTGAGTGGAGGGCTAAGTCTGATGTCTGGTAGAGATATGGCACCTTCCACCCCTGCCCTTTGTCTATTCCCACAGGAGACAGTGGTCCCCGGCCATCCTGAACAGAGTGTGCAGCCTCTACCTGTCCTCTGTAAGCAGATGGACTAAGGAAGTTGTGTGCTCTGGGTAAGGCGGCCTCATAGCCTGGCCCTCACACAGAATTTTCTCTTTAGGTATCCAAGTCTGTTGTTTGCGTGTTTGTTCGTTTTAAACTGACCACTTGGAAGAATGCCTTGGTTATCTGTGGTTCTTGTGGCTGCCCCTGCCCCGAGCCTGTCGGAGAGGAGTGCCTTACCCTCCCGGACAGCCTGTGTGCCTGTCCTCTGGCGCTAGAGGCCCAGCCGTGCTTGGATAGGAAAAAGGAGCGTAGTAGCAGCCGAAGTGAACATTCCCCACCCAGCCCCGTTCATACTAAAAGTTTGGTTTCCCCTGCTCTTGAACGATGATATGTAGACTTCGGCACTGTCATTCTAGTGAGAAAAGGAAAAAAGGAAGAAAAGAAAATCCATCTGTAAACACACAGACAAATCTGAGGCTGTGAGGTAATGTGTGTCTGCGTTTGGATGCCACAAACCAAAATCCTTGTCGAACAAAAGTGAAGTCTACACAGTAATGTTGGATGATTTGTGTGTATGTGTCTGTGTGTGTGTCTGTGTGTGCGTGCACACGCGTGCAAGTTGTGTGTGGCCCCAAGCCCTGTGTTCCTGTGAAGATACTTTGAATGACCATTCTGCTCACGTTAACCCCATGTTTGGAGCACATATGGCCCTCTCAAGGTAATTTATTTTACACATTTACTGTTTACCGAACAAATGTCTGGCTGAACTCGGGTGTCGCCGGCAGCGCCTGTGTTTGCCGGACTGCCCTCCAGGGAGAGGCGTCTTTCTCGCTCATCACTGCGATTTGCACATTGCCCCACGGACACTCAGGCCTGCATTCTGTTCCCTGGACGTGGAAACATTCTGAACCAGCGTCCCTCCCTCTGCTGCGTTCAGACAGAAGCTTGATTGAGTCTGGAGTGACAAGCTTGGACTGGTTGTGACTCAGACATCGACCTGCCCGGGAACACCAGGAGTCTCTGGCAGACAGACACCTTGATGCCACAAGCATGCACCTCCTCTGCCGAGGTCTAGAGGGTCGGTATGTGGCCAGAGGGCCCTGAGCTGCAACCCTCACACACCTTTCCCACTTCCTTCTTGTTAAAATCCCAGACAACTCGAAAGTCAATCTCCCCAAACTCTAGTTAACTGATGATGAGGTGGGACCCTCTCCAGTTTCTTTTCCCCTGCCTGGCAGCATGGGGTGCTGGCCTGAGTGCGGACCAGCTTCACTGAAGCACCCGTCAAAGTGACCGAGCCACAGTCCGGCCCCTGCCGCTGCAGGCCGCACTGACGCTCAGAGAGAGCACAGGAAGTACCAGGCCAGGGAGACTTGGCTGAGTTGGGTTCCCAGGCAAAAGGGAGGAGGGGGTAGGCAGACGGCTTGGTGCTACAGTCAGCTTTGCAGCCGCTAACACATTCCTGTGTGAGGCACGTCAGCGTCCGTCAGTCATTGTGAATATGTGTATCTTAAGCAATAAGAGTCCGCTGCTCAGAGTCCCTGGGCAGGCTGGGCAGGCTGGGTGACGCACACCCTGTGCTGTGATCGTTGTGAAGACAGTGACTGTAACCACTGTGGGACGCCCTGATAAAGTCTGCCCCAAACACTCTGCTGCAGTTTTCTTTGCCACACGTCATCCTTTCTCCCCAGACGTCAGCGGTTAAGGATGGGGTCCTGGGCAGTGGGGCTGCTGCTGAGTCCGTTCTCGATCCTGAGACTTTCCTCCACATTCCATTCCTGATACCCAATCCCAAAGGCAGAGACAAGTGTTGCCAGAGTCCCCAAAGCCAGATTGGTTGGGGGGCTTTTTATTTTTTAGATTATTTTGTACGTGTGGGTGTCTTTGCCTGTGTATGACAGTGCACCACATGCATGCAGTACTCATGGAAGCCACAAGAGGGCATCATCCCCTGGGACAGATGGCTGTGAGCTGCCTGATGCACACTGGGAAGTGAGCCTAGGTCCTCTGCAAGAATAGATGCTGTAAACCACCGAGCCACCTCTCCAGCTCTGGTTTAAGGTTTCGGTATTTGCGGTAAGATCTCACTGTAGGCCAGACTGTCTAGAAACTTGGCTCATGGTTGTCCTCCTGTTGCAGCCCCCCCCCCCCCCGAGCTGGGATTGGGAGTGAGCCACCACACTCTGATACACTGTTTTGTACCCAGCATATGCTGGAATCTAGGAAGAGGTGACATAAGCAAGAGCCACATGCCCCATTCTCCTGAGCTTATAGGTAAGATGGCAAAATACCCCTGTGTAGAATAGTTAGCATGCGGCTGGAGAGGTGCCTCAGGGGTCAAGAGCACTGACAGCTCTACCAGAGGACCTGAGTTCAATTCCCAGCACCCACATGGTGGCTCCCAGCCATCTATGGTGAGATCTGGCGCCCTCTGCTGGCATGAAGATATACAATCAGGGCACTCGTACATAAATCTTAAAAGAGAGAGAGAGAGAGAGAGAGAGAGAGAGAGAAAGAAAAAAAGAAACAAAACTCTTGTCCAGCCAGAATGCATCATAGGAAGAACCAGCAAACCCTAGAAAAGTGTGAATGGCTAATTTCCTGAAAAAAGAAACGAGAAAGAAAGCCTGCAGGTGGACTGTGGGTAGGTAGCAGAGCTTCAGAGACTGCACTTGCGGGAGGTTACCGGAGGGAGGTCTTACATGCTGCTCTGGGGTTTCTCAACCGGATTTTAGCTGTATTGTCAGTCACTGTGGGCCGGTGATTCTTTGTTCATTTCTACTTCTGTTTTACTACATCTTGAAGAACTTTGAGTCAGGTGTAATTCCCTGAGCAATGACTAGCTTTCTGCCTCTGCTGGGGAAAGACATTGCCCTTGCTCAGTGCAACTTCTCCTTAGGCAACTTGAGTGTGAGTGGTCAAGCATGATGAGGCATAGCCTAGCTCCCCTCACAAAAGAGGTTACTGCTTCCTAGGTGTGCTTATCAGGGGCCAAGGCCCCTGAGTAGTGGCCACAACTATTGCCCAGGCCTGTAGAGATTGCCTAGTAGTTGGTCCCATTATATTTGAGAGTTTGAATTAGCCACACATGACCTTTGTCCCTGTAACTGAGACAGTTGCTGCCTTTCTGCTTCTAAGCTGCAGGGCTCAGGGCAACACCCATGAACGCATGTTAGCATGTAAGGAAAGTTCCTCTGAAGCTTGGAAAACAGCCGGTGGCGAATGCTTACAGCGCGGCACACCGGGAAAGGCAGCTGCGGACACACAGTTCCAGGCCAACTTAAGCTAGCAAGACCCTGGTTTTTAAAGCAAAACAACCTAAACCCCACAGGAAAGAACTGGAGGTATACACCATTCATCCCTGCCTTCTCTGAGATAATGTCAGAGTGGCCCCCAAAAGAATGGCGTAACTCATCTGGGCTGGTTGCCAGGGGCTCTTCATTCATGTATACTTGATTTCTGGGCTCCTGGAACACTGGGTCATGGGAGTTCATTTTCCTAATGAGGTTTGAAGATTGTCTCTATTGCTTCAAGTGACCAAGTTCAGGTAGAGATTGTATTTGCCCAGAAGCCCAAGACAACCCCAGCTTCCTAGTGTTTTTCCTTTTTTCCCTTCAATTTCCTGGTTTTAGCTTTTGAGAGAAAACACAAACAAAAAAAGCAGGGTCTGACTCTAGCAGAGAGAGAGAGACAGAGAGAGAGAGAGAGACAGAAGCCGGCTTGGCTGAGTGCCAGTGGGTTCCGACTGAACCTGAAGAAGGACTGTGGGTTGGGAGGTGTCTGGGTTCCAGGTTCTGCGCCTTAACCAAGTGTGGTGGCACAATCTGTAATCCTAGCTTTGGGAGGAGAATTCAGATGGGGGGGGGGCAGAAAAGGAAGGACATGGCTGCTCCTGGGTGTGGTGGAGGAGATGGTTTATTGTAGATGAAAGGGAGAACATAGGCAGAGACACCTGGGAGAGTCCAGAGTGAACATGGCCAGACTGAGCCAGCCATGTGAGCCGAGCAGGGGTATCAAGAGGGTAAAAGGACTGGTGTAGCCAAGATGGCTGGACTACACAGAGAGGACTAAATAGACACTCAGTCCCTGGTTTGAGACCTAACGAGGATTAGCAGTTCAAGGTCATCCTGACTACACAGTGGTCTCAAGTCCATCCTCTGCTGTAAATGAAACTCCCTGAAGATACATGCATGCGTATATATACATGTATATGTATACACGTATGTAGCACTAGGAAGTCTTTAATGGGCACCTGCCATGTGCTAGGCATCAGGAACTCGAAGATGCCTGAAACTTGCA